AGATAACAAAAAGACGAATTGGCTTGTGGAGTTGGAGTTGTGATAACAATGAAAAAAAAAAAATAGATTCAATTAATTTATGTTGTTCTATTGCTTGTGTTTTCTGTTACAGCGGCCCCCTCCTCCGAAGAAGGCTCGAGGTTCGTCCAGTGACCGAGATGTAGAGAGTGGATCCCCCTCTGAATCAGAACCAACGCCCTCAGAGTCAGACTCTGGAAAGAACAGTGACCAGGTAAGTAATTACACACACACTATATAGGATAGTTTTTGTGTTCTCAGAAACGTAACAGCCCATGAATGTTACACATTTATCTTTCCAATAGGATTTTACGCCAGAGAAGAAAGCAGGTGGACGAGGTGGGAAAAAAGCAGGAGGGAGAGGGAAGAAAAAGGTGACCCACTTTTTAATATAATAAAAGCATCGTTCACCTTTTGTGATGGAAGTTGTTGATTTCTTGCCCTTTCTCCTTCTGATTCCACCTTTTCTTCTGCGACGTTGCAGAAGGGATCATCTGACTCAGATTCAGACTCAGGATCAGGCTCAGAGAAGAAAGTGGTGGACAGTGACTCGGAGGACGAGAAACCTCGACCAGCTCTGTCTGGCTCAGAATCCCGGTCCGGTTCAAAGTCTGAGTCAGACTCAGATCCACCTCCTCGGAAAGGCCCACAAGCACGGAAGAAAGGTTTAGTCTGGTTAATGGATTATCAATAAATTACAGTTTAATGCAAAATCGCAGGCATATTTGTCATTAAATAGTAAAAGAAAGATTTCATGCTTTTTGCTTACATTAACAATGGTTGAATTCCTGTCCCACAGAGAAGCCTGCACCAAAGCCTCGTGCACGGAAACCCAAACCCCCGCCGGCAAAACGAGCACCATCATCGTCATCCAACAGCGACAGGTCAGGTTTTACCCACTCACGCACCACAGAGTAATTGACTTATATGAATTCTACTGTGTGTTTTAGCCGTGTGTAAATGATTCCCTGTTTTGTCACAGCGACAGTGAACCCGACCGCATCAGTGAATGGAAGAAAAGAGATGAGGAACGCAGGCGAGAGCTGGAGGAGCGCCGGAAAAAGGAGGAGGCAGAGGAGCTCCGCCGTCTACGTGAGAGGGAGAAAGAGGAAGATGAGAAAAAGAAAAAAGACAAAGATAAGGGTAAAAAGGAGGGCGGCAGTGACAGCAGCAATAGCTCAGATGAGGGTGTAGATGAGCACCCATTGAAGAAGTCCAAGAAACCCCCTCCACCTCCGATTCCTGCACCCTCCGACTCAGATTCTCCACCTCCAGCTGAGGTGCAGTTGCTTAGTGAAAATACGGTTTTAACACAATAATAGAATTAGAGATTAAGTCTTGTGCTATTGACGTATGCAACTTCTTGTGCTTTTCTCATCAAAAGGTGAAGAGAGCAAATAAAAAGCCAGACAACCAGAAGAAGGCAAGAATAAAGAAAGATAAGGAGAGAAAAGAAAGGAAAGAGAAGAAAGCCAGACGATTAGAGGAAAAGTCCAGAGCAAGGTGAGTGCTCAATGAAGAAAAGGCGAGTGTGCGGTCTGACTTTAGATGAACTTCTTTAAAACATTATACATACACAGACCTCAGAGTTCCTTCTCTTTCTATTAGAGCTAAGCCTGAAAAACCCAAACGCAAACCAGAGAGGTTGCCAGAGAAGAAAGTAGAAAAGAAAAAAGGTAAGTGTCTCATACATGCTTACTCAGTTTCACATGTACTGTTTTTATTTGTTGCAGCTGACAAGCACATTTATTTCCTGGGAAACCTGGGAACCATGCAATACTCCACCAAAAGTACTTATTCCCTGACTGTGACTTTGTGTTTTCATATGCAGAGCCATCACCAGAAGAAAGGCTACAGAAACTCCACACAGACATAAAGTTTGCACTCAAAGTTGACAACCCAGTAAGTTACATCTATGAGTTGTTCTATTTTCTGTGTTTTTTAATTTTGTAAATTTCAGTTTGAAATGAAACATTGATGTGTTTTGTGTGTTTTCCAGGACATAGATCGGTGTCTACAAGCCCTGGAAGAACTTGAGGCTGTGCCCGTCACCAGCCAGATCCTCCATAAGAACGCTGAAGTTATTGCCACGTTAAAGAAGGTGCAGTTTACTGTCTTTTTGTTTGCAGACTCATGTTGCATTAAGGCAGGTTAATCCACATTTAAAATGATGGAAAATAGTTCACTTGATGTCATAAATGTACCATATACTGTACTGTGTGTTACCAGTTGTTTCCCAGTGTTAATGATGATGGATTGTACATGAATCCATCTTTAATGCACCTTCTCTTTGCTCTGTCTGTGTTCATTCAAAAACAGATATTGTAATATGGGTGCTCTAATGATCAGGGCCATCCTATATTCAGGCCACTGCAGTATGGTTCTCATTTCAATTATCCTCCCCATTTTAATAGTCATGGTTTTCATTAATAACAGATCCGGCGGTATAAAGCCAGCGCTGCAGTCATGGAAAAAGCCAGTGACGTGTACAACAAGTTAAAACTTCGCTTTGTGGGCAAGTCAGATGTGCCAGTCAAACCTCAAACAGACGACAAGGACCCAGAAGATAATGACAAGGAGACACAAGAAGCAGGTAAAACAAATTCTGCCCAGTTATGGATCTATTGGGTTCTACATTATGTGGATGTTTTCCCACCAGGCTTGATATTCTTGTTTTGGTTTACTCTGCATATTTATATCAATTTGTATCGATTTGTTTTTTCTAGACTCCATTCCAGTGAACGGGGAATCTGAGCAGAAAAATGATGATATGGAGGTCGAGGAAAAACCGAAATCACCCACCCAGGAAGAGAATGATGATGCTTCAAGTCCTAACAGGTGAATATCAAGGTTGAAATAATGCTGTTTCTTTATGAAACTGTAAAAGTGACATGCAGTAATTGAGCTGCTGCAAATTAGGATCCGCTGCTGGACTGAAGCTTGACTCACTACATAGAACCCCGAACAGGAGAATCAGTTGTTGTTGTTGTGAACTCGCTGTTGTCATGATCGGCAATTTGATTGAGATTTCTAGAATGATTAGATTAGATAGATGGTAAATGTGATCTAAGCACAGTTGTAGTTGACTGACTGCGCTTCATCTGTAGACGGAGCCCAAGCAGCCCTGCTGACCACCAGACACACACCTATGAAGAAGCAGACAACTCCATCACCGCAGACGCAGAACCACCTGCTGTCGAAAGCTGAAAGGGCCTGAACCACCACTGCAGGGGACCAAGCACTAAAAGATGGCAGTGGTCCCTTTGTATGGCATCGTACAGTGCTCCTAGCCCAACAACATCGAAAACACACACCCAGCATCTCCGACAGTATCTGTTACATCAACGTTGATATGTTGGACATTTTGTACTATAATGAAATCAAGCTAGAACACCCTGTTGCTCCCTTTGGTCCATTATTTATCCCAGCACAGCAGGAAAGCTTACTTGTGTGATAGTTTGTGGCGCGGTGTGAAACCCCTTTTTGTTTCTGAAATGTACGTTTCTTTTTATACGACACTTGGCCCGTCCTGGATCCTTAAAACCTGAACCCCTGCTCTCCTGGCTACTTCATTCTTTGTACCACATGAACTCTTACTTTGGTCTTTCATACCGTATGTATATTGAATGATTACATTTTTAGCACTTGTAACCAGAATTTAGGCTGGGGTAGTGTGAGATCAGACTTTAAATGATTCTTTGCGGGGACATTGGGTGGAAATGGAGCCATGCTTTGAAGATTTTGTGCAGCCCTTAAATTTATTGGCTTCATTTTTTTTTTTTATAAAGCCTACGAAACATCACGAACGCCTCCTGTCTGTGTGTATGACATTGTAAGAGTGGTGAAGAACTACTTGTGAATCTTTTTATTATGTTTTTTCAGTATTTTTTTAATTATCTGGTTTTGTTCCAGTTAATCCAGTCTTGACGAGTTCTGTCACGTGATACTGAACCTGAAGCCATGAGCTGAGTCTCTTAAATCTGTTTTCCGACTGAGGTCCACCTACTTTTTTTTTTTTAAATGCCTCATTTTCAGATACTTGCATCTACACTTTTGTCTAAAATAATAACTGCTGTGGAGTTACACACCTTGCACTCACATCTCCCTGTAGTACCTGCGTTCAGTAACTTGCATAATAATAATAATCGGAATAAATGTACAGGTCGAAAACTGCCTTTTTAAGCAGTGGAGATCTCATGTAGCTGCCGTTTATTTTGACATTTCCCCATCATATGCATAAAACAGGTGTTTTTAGTGCTATATAAATTGGTAAAGCATTTCTATCACTTAGTTGAGACTTGAATAAAAATCTCAGCATGGCTTTTGTTTCTATCTCATTTCTTGGTGTTTAAGAAAAACTGCTTTTAATGACTTTGCTTTTCCAACTGCAGCATCACGTATAGTGATTATTTGTTGGTTTGTGGTTTTGTGCAATGTAGTATAATGCTTTTACCTACTCCACTTGAAATTTAATGGCACATGGGCTGGGCTATAAAACAAAATAAATAATTGTCATCACACAAATCAATAGCAATATAACGAACTGTGATTTCGACTGATAGGAACGTGTTTATCTTGATGTGATTTTGGCCACATCATTCAGCCCTAGTATTTACCTGCCAGACTACCTGTGAGATTTTATGTTTTATAACTATAAATTGTATATTGTATTACTACATTTGAAATGAACAGTGAGATAACAATTTTCTGATTAAAACCTTTAACTCAGCTGAGGAGAAATTACTCTTCGAGCTAAAAGTAAATAATAGTTTGACATGTATACTATGGCGATAATTACAGATATCAACCATTCATACGTAGATCTGATGTTTTATTCATATGAGTGGACGATGTTAGATGTTTTATATTTGAAATGAACAGTGAGGTAACGACAGTTCCTGTGTTTGGGGACTGGACCTTTAATTCCGCTGATTGCCATATGAGATTCTCGCATAATACTCCAGTCAGCTGACTTTCGACGCCATTTTGTCAGCCATTTCCTACACTGATCCATTGGCAGAGTCTCCTGCACGGCACGGGACGCCCCATTTGGCCTCAGTCAGCTTCTCCTGCCCCGGGCTTGGTCAACAGCAGCGGACCCCCCCCCTCCCCTGCACGCTCGGTACCCGGGTTGATGAGAGACGGTGTAGCGGGTCGCTCGGCTCCCACCAGACCTCTGCAAGGCGCTCGGCCCCGGCAGGACACTCAGCACCGGAGCGGCACAAGTCCCAGACACAGACATGGCTCTGAAGATTGTCAAGGGGAGCATCGATCGGATGTTCGATAAAAATCTCCAGGATTTAGTACGTGGCATCAGGAACCACAAGGAGGATGAGGTAAAACGACCCGCCAGCTGCCGCTGTCTCTGTTTACATGTTGAACTCCCCATTAACACGGGATTTAAGTCACAGTGGGCACCGCTCACACCGTTACCCAGCCAGCTAACGTTAGCGCCCGCTCAGTCATTTCACCCGCTAGCTTCCAGCTACACGAAACACCCATTTCGTTAGCCTGAAAGCTAATTCAACGCTAGCTAAATAACAACTTGACACACACACACACACACACACACACACACGCCTACTAACCTTCTACCTGTCAGGTTGAAGCAGGCGAACCGGTTGTTGGGTCGCTGCTGACCGCTAGCTAACCTAGCTAACAGGGAGCCAGTTTAAGGAAGCAGCTTGATAGTTGATGGCAAATTAGCAGATTACTCCTTTGCAACACACCCGAGGGTATTGCTGCTGTCAACATCTATTTAGCATCTGTCGCTAACCTTGTCGATGTGTGGCCTTCAGCTTCATGTGGGAGAAACATCCACAGGTTTTAGCTTTCTTATATTTATCACTATTTTGAATTGAGGACACCAGAGTGTTTAGATTGGATCCAGTGACGCTCAGATTCCTTCTACTTGTAGATTTTACGTATCACCACCCAGGATGCTGATGATTGAATGCATCTTTTTCTTTATGTCAACTAGAGAATACAATGAGCACACATCGGTGACTGAAGGTGATGTCATCCCTGTCACAGCTCTTGTCTGTGGGTGAGGACAGTTTCTGGCTCCATCACAGCTCCAGACCTGAGTGGGAGGAGGAGGAGGAGGAGGGTGGGATGGGCCTTTAGAGGGCACTGTTTTGGGGCAGCCACGTTTCCATCTTCAGCCCCAGTCTCCTCCTCTGAAGAGATCGGAGCTGTGTCTGTAATCATGTTGTTAAATTGCTATGTCAGGTAGAACCACAAGGTGGGCCTGCAGCAGGTTTGTCCTGCCTACCCTCTTATCAGGAAAGTGATTTACATGTAGAGGCTCATAGCAGTCAGAACCAGAGATATAAACATTTTCAATGTCATAATAAAAACAAGGCCGTCTGTGTTGCGTGATGATATTGCTTTTAGAGATTAAGCAGCTAGATGAGTGATTCTGCACCAGGCCATCAGATCCTTGATCTCTTGATTGAGTATATGGTCTAAGCTGTTCGCCATTGGTAACCCGATCGAGGAAGCCCGGATAAGGTGGCAGTCCCCCCCGTCAACGTTGGACAGTTTGCTGAAATATTCATACAGTGTGTGTTGTGTGTGTCTGCACCTGAATGTGTGTTGACTTTTTCCAGGCCGGCCCACAGTTTCTCATGCTCACTATTTGTCTTTCACGTGTGCTGAGTCTCTGCACGGCTCATTCATTCACTCCCACGCCTTTGGAACAGCGGGCATGTTGAAGAAAGGTGTGAGGATGTCCTCGTTTGATTCAGGGAGATCACTCGCAAGAATTTTAGGCCTATTTGTAATTGTTCTTATAAAAACAAAGTAGAGCACTATGAGCTAACACTGAACCCTTCTTTACTTGGAAAGTCTCAGCCGTCTAGTGTATCTCCAGCTCAGCTTGCAGTACAGGCAGAAAGGTTTGTCTGTTTTGGCCCTGGGACAAATATTTAAACTATTTCAATGGGTTCTGAGCTGGTCATTGAAGAAGAGTGAGGCGGATCACGTGATGCTGTGTTGAATTCATCCCTGTCTGCCCTGCTAACCACAGTTTCTGCAGGAGCAGCAGCACCCCCCCACCATCATTTCAGTCTCATGACCAGCACACATGACCAGCACACTCACACACACAGCCATACGTATATATGTGTTTGTTTTGCAAGGTTGCTCCTCTCAACAATGGTTTACTGATTGCCTTACCTACAGTTTCACTGAGCCTGTCGTCCACCATTCAAATTAAATTTACCTGCTTTATCTTTCCTGCTTAATTGGTTTCAGGATGCTGTGTCTATTTATAGAAGGGCTTAGATAAACATGGCTTTTTCCTACTCATTTTTGATTCAATTGTAAAAAGGCATTATTGGATTTAAAAGCTGTTCAATCACCCATCACCTGTTAAATCCACATAAATAACCTGTGGTAAGCGACTATGTAATGAGAGTGAAACAGATTCAGCATGTGCTGATGATAATGTTTTCATGTGTGTTTAAAGAGCTTACATGGACAAAAGTCCTACATTTGATGACATTAGGTGTAACATTAGGTGTAAGCTTTCAAAACCATAACCAGTGACTTGAGTGTGACTAATGGCTTAAAGAGCTCATGCTTTCCTTAACCCTAGAGTGGGGTTAAAGGTTCAGTGTGTAAGATTTAGGTGAAAGGGATCTATTGACTATAAACTGAATATAGAATAATCCTAGTGATGTTTTCACTAGTGTGATCATCTTTTTTACCCTAGAACGGGCCCTTTATATTTAAATCGTTTATATTTACATTAGGAGCGGGTCCTCTCTACAGAGGCCGCCATGTTTTTTATAGTTGCCCAGACTGGATGAACTCAACACCTTTTGAGTTTTTATGGCAAATGAGGGCCACCACAGGTCCTCTCTAAGTTGACACCTTCGTCAGTGTCCTATTCGTGTATATTTCAGGAAAATGTCCAGACTTCAATGCATATCTGAAAGCAGCTTATTACCTCATAAAGTCTAGGACAAAGTTTAGGACTTTCCTGACTTGACTTGGGACTTGCCAAATAATAATTCAGCTCCACTTCTGCGGGCTAGTGTCTTGAGTAGCAAGCAGAAGCAGACCAGGATTCTCTGTGTCCTGGTGTCCTGGTGCTTGTTACCAGACGAGCACTTGATTTCACCTCAACTGATTTGTTGTCCTCTTGTTTGTCCTCTTGTTTATCTGCCCACAGGCCAAGTACATCTCCACGTGCATCGATGAGATCAAACAGGAGCTCAAGCAGGACAACATCGCCGTCAAAGCCAATGCTGTGTGCAAGCTCACCTATGTAAGATCTGTCAACATCATCAACTAACTAACCTAGTCTTCCTATTGGACATTCTATTTGATAAACTTACAAACAGGTCTGCACATGGCTCTCAGTGTAGCCCCACCTGTTTTCCTTCAAATAAATGCACACAAGATTTGATTCCTATGCCGTTTATGTGGTTTTGATTTTGTGCAGGCAACATTTCAAAACATTAAAATCAACAATGTAATTTTTGACATTGAAGTTGATGCTTCCCAATATGTTGATACAATGTTATATTCTGTAGGTGTGGTATATTGAGTTTATACACACACACTCACACAAACGCACGCAATGGAAAATTCTGTCTGCGATGATTGTGGTAGGGAACAACACACTATCTTTGTATGTTATCTCCTCTATTCAAACAGCTTCATGCTGAATCAAAACACATTGTTTCAACCCAAGCCTTCACCAGGGTCTAAATATCTAACCACCTCACACATTAGTAGAAATTACAGAGCTACGGTTGTTTTATAGCTTAAGATTAGTCAATTCAGATCCAGATACCCTACAGCCTGCACTTATTGAGAACAGTGCACAGTTTCTGTTTAAATCAAAGTACCCTTTCTATTAATAGCCTCAGCTTGCATTTAGGTTTTGATGGCTTGTTGCGATTAGCATCAGCGCTCTATTTGGGAGCTTTTTGCTCAAATCATTTAGCCTCCATGTGCACCAAAGGGACAGTTAACATCCCATCGATCCTCCTCTTATTCACTCATCCCTCACTTTGTCACCGCTGTTTTCTGTGTTACAGCTTCAGATGCTGGGCTATGACGTCAGCTGGGCCGCATTCAACATTGTTGAAGTCATGAGCTCCTCTAAGTTCACATACAAGGTATGACTGATACACAAAGAGTTTTGTAATTGCTCAGAAGCACGTGTATATGTAGATATTCCGGAAACCTGTCATAAGGACACTTGGGCTCTTTAGAGAGGAAGCCCAAGTCTCTTACAACCACGTATGCGTAAGAAATATACAGTTTGTGAGACTTAATTAAGATCTCTTCTCAATCCAAAAATAGCACGATGAGTAGGCACAGAAAATGAAATGCACTGTACAGGTAAATCTCTATGGAACTGCTGCAGGGTCACATATGCTAAATGAAATAAATATTACTCATTATGCTGCACAGTGAGTGATTCTCTCTGCTGATCGTCTTTCCTACAGAGGATTGGCTACCTGGCGGCTTCACAATGCTTTCACGAGAGCACCGATGTCATCATGCTGACAACCAATCAGATCCGAAAGGTCAGTAATATTCTCTGTGCGCTCTTTGAACATCCCTGGATTCTTCTTTATCCCTCAACCAACCTTTTCTGTCTCATGGCCTTTCTATTTTTTGATCTACCCTCTTCCAGGATCTCAGCAGTCCCAACCAGTATGACACAGGCGTTGCCCTCACTGGCCTCTCATGTTTTGTGACCCCTGACCTCGCTCGGGACCTGGCCAATGACATCATGACACTGGTGAGTCATGGACAGAATGTCAAGAGGTTTACACACAGAGCTTACCATCTTTAGTTTTATTTTTCTCTTAGCTACAAGCTGAACTCACTTTCTCCATGGTGTTTGTTGTTTTTCTCTCCCTAGATGTCGCACACTAAACCCTACATCAGGAAGAAAGCTGTGTTGATCATGTACAAAGTGTTTCTCAAGTACCCAGAGTCCCTGCGCCCTGCTTTCCCCAGGCTTAAGGAGAAACTGGAAGATCCAGACCCAGGTATTACAGAACAAACAATATTCTCCGTAACTGCAAAGCTTATACTCAATTAATTAATTGATGTGAAGAAAAAAAATTTTTTGTCAGTTTATTGGGTGTGGCTCCTGGGTTTAGGCAAGATATTCTCTTTGTACTCACAGGTAGCTAAATCATAGACAGTGCTGGTACGGCTGGTGCCCAGCATTCGCTGTCACCTGAACCCGGTGAATTATTCAGCAGCTAAGAATATGAGATCAAGAACGGCTCATTTGTGATTCTGTCGGGGATGTGTGGGAACACTCCACAGCTCACAACTATTTTGGTTGCACAGATAAAAACATCTCTCAGGACATTTGACACAAGGATTGTGCATATGATGTCTCAATTATTATCTCATCTTAAATTCTGCTTTATCTTAAGAATAAAAGCTGCTTCCAATTGTTGTCAACAAGATAATTCAGTAGTTTTTATGGTTTAAAGAAATCTAGCTTCCCTTCTATTTTAAAACAATATGTTTAACAGTTTTGATGGCACAAAGGCTGGTTACACAGATTTAGGAAAATTAACAGATCTAAATAAATGCTTTTGTCAAACTGCATGCAATAAGCAGTTCAACATTTTTAGTTGTGTGAAAATAAACATGTGGTCCTCTATTTTCTTTCTAACTTCCTCTCTACTCTATTTCCTCTTAAGGTGTCCAGTCAGCAGCAGTAAATGTCATCTGTGAGCTGGCCCGCAGAAATCCCAAGAACTACCTTTCTCTGGCCCCGCTCTTCTTCAAACTCATGACCTCCTCTACTAATAACTGGGTTCTCATCAAGATCATCAAGCTGGTCAGTCAAAAGCACAAAGGGTTTCATTGTTGCCAAGTTGTGTTTTGTAACTCCCAATACTGCACCAATCATAGGGATATATTGATTGGAAAAGAGGAATTGATCATAGTTCTCCTGCAGCGTTGGTCTCAGAACACATAGCAGTTGAATTATTACTGTTTGTAATGATCTCTCTCTTTGTAATAGAACCACCTTGTTTTAAAGTTTCGGTTCATGCTCCTTTTTTTACATTTATTATAAATATGTAGCAAATAATTTAAACAAAATGTTTGCAAATTAAAAATGTAATGCACTGAGGGCTGTATATTATTGAAGGTAGAATATTATTTACAGTAGCTTCATGACAGTAAATTAATATTCATCCCTTTCATTTCACCTATATGTGTCTTTGTGTTTGTTTACAGTTTGGTGCGCTCACACCACTCGAGCCAAGATTGGGGAAGAAGCTGATCGAACCTCTGACTAACTTAATCCACAGGTGAGCTAAAACAGATTGTAATATTAATCTGATGTAATGAAAACAACAATAATAATCTGTGCTCTCTCTCTATTTCTTACCTCATCCTTGTGTCTCACAGTACCTCCGCCATGTCTCTGCTGTATGAATGTGTCAACACCGTGATTGCAGGTCAGTACCGTTGTTCTGTTGGCTTAGCTAAATATGGGTTTGGTAATGTGAAGAACACAACTCTTTTAAAATGTGTGTTTTTTATTTTTTAAGGCAGACTTTTAAATGCACATCATTTATTTGTGACCATGTGCAGGAATAAGCTCAAATATACTTATTTACAAGATTATAGTATTCTGTAGCAGTAGGGTTTTCAATCCTGCTAAATGATGACACCATCATTTAGTCAACTCTGCTTTCCTCAGTTCAAGTTACTAGTTAATTTAAAAAAAAGGACCCTTTAACTCTCACTCTTTTTTCCTACATACAAATATCCAGTTGAGATTTTCTTCTCACAAAATATTAAGTTCAAATTCAAATCTAATTTATTCTTTTCCTTCACTACAGTGTTGATTTCTTTGTCCTCTGGGATGCCTAACCACAGTGCTAGTATCCAGGTAAGGTATTGGTTATATGTCGATGTTAATCCAGTTGAATCACTCTGCATGCTTTCACCATTTTCTTTCTATTCACTCATCTGACTGTCCAAACGTAGTTCAAGTGCAAAGCAAATGTCAAACAGGCTAGTAGAGAGTTTTCTTTCTTTTAAAAAGGCTGTTTTGCATGACCAGATATATTTCACCATTTCGCCCACTTTAGTTTGTTTCATAGTTTTTTTGAATTGTGCCTGTATGTGATGTTAATGGCTCTCCACTTCTCCCTTTCTGTTTTCCTCCCTCTTCCTCAGCTCTGTGTGCAGAAACTGCGAATCCTGATCGAAGACTCGGACCAGAACTGTGAGCCCTCTGTCAATGCCTGCAGTGTGTCATTTTCTCATTGTCTGTGTGTTTCTGACTGTGGAACAGTCCACCCATTTAGACCACGACAACGTAGACGCCCTGACTCTGGATAACTCGAACATTTTTACCTTGGGATTCCATTTTACTTAAGTCACATCTACTCATAACCCATTTATGGCACAGAAAACAAACTCCAGCTTGTTTTTCCTCACTGTCTTGCATCAATCTGAATTGATTGATTGATGTGATGTAAATCGCCAATTTCACTCCCTCACCCACTCCCAGTCAGAGCTGAGATTACTGCATCCAGCCATTCGAGTTATCTGCATCCCCCTTAGATAGATAGTAACATTTGGAGTAGATTATAGGGATCTGGTGTTATTAGAGCAGACTGTGAACCTGTGGTTTATAGTTTTCTTTATCCACTTCAAGGCTTAACATTGATGAGTAAATGAGCGAGGGAGCAGACCTACTCTAGATTCTGAACCGATAAAATCAATTGAGTTGAATAACAAACAAAGGGCGTCAGAGCCAATTTAAAAGCCTTTAGTAAAGAAGTAAGAGGCCATGTTTTTAAGCTTTTTTCAGAATGATTTTTTAAGTTAAATAAAGATCACCAAAAGATAGTCAGCTGGCATATATGCAGCATTACTCTAAATGCATTAGATGTATTACAGTCGACTAAAGTAGGAAAATCAATCACTATTAAGGTAGTGTTTTATGTTGCTAAAAACACCAGATATCTTAGATTTGTTCTATTTAGATTTTATAGATTTTGTGCACTTGTGTTAGAAGCATTTTAATGAACAGCACAAACCCTGGGAATGAATCGATAGAAGGCGTTTTGAAATATTTGCTTACTTCTCACATTTCACTCAGCAGTTGGTACTGAAACACAAATGCAAAATTTGCACACAGTCCAAAAACATTTTTGCTGAACTGCCCCTGTAATTTTTTTTTGATAGCTAAGGTAGATTCAGAAGAGATTCCTGTGTCATGTTCCAGGTCATTTCTGCAATGTATTCACTGCAGTGACCAGCCTCACCTCACTGCAAGGTCACTACCAGACATGCACTCATTGATCGAGGAACTGAGAGGCGTTTGTCTCTGCCAGATTAGATGATCAACACAATGTCGTGATTCAGCACATTTCTGAATTCTTAAAATACTTAATGGTGAGTTGTCAGGGAATCAACAGAGGATAAAGCAAAACAAAACTACTGCGTCCAGTGTAGGTGTGTGTTGTCCCGTGTATGTGTTTGTATGTCCTTTCCATTGTTTTGTGTGTTTGTTGCTCCTCTCCTGTCCTTTGCACATTATTATTCTTTATTACAGTTGAATATAACATAGAAGTAGCTTGTCCACACTAGACTTTATTGAGACTACATGTAAGTAAATGTAGTATGAAGTAACATTTTTGAATAACTAGTCCAGTCCAAACCACTTCATTGATCTTTTGTAAACCATGGACCTCTCCTGTAAGCACATATTGTATTTTTGGTTGGTAAATGCAGGATAGTCAGTAAGGTTAGTAAAGATGTCATGTCTAATAAATAAATTTGACAAGCTTTGTTATAACTTTAGAGAATGATTATGTCTAGTAATAGAAGTAAGAAGTACACAGAAGTTTCCATCGGACGGGTAAACTGAGAGTGTATATGTGTTTTGCTAAGACCATGTGTGTCTGCACTTATGTAGTGAAGTACCTGGGCCTGCTGGCCATGTCAAAGATCCTGAAGACGCATCCCAAGTCAGTGCAGTCTCACAAGGACCTCATTCTCCAGTGTCTGGACGACAAGGATGAGTCCATTCGCCTTCGAGCTCTGGACCTGCTCTATGGCATGGTATGGACCAAAGAACTTTCACTAATGCATCACTACTAATTGTGCAATTATATTGTTAAAGATATTAGAAGCTTCATTGTCAGTTTTTAGCAAATAATCTCTGACAGTAAAGAACTTGTTGCTGCTTGTTCCATTTTAAAAGCTGACTTGATTTGTACCACAAGGTAAAATGGATTAAATAGACAGTGACACAGTAGTCACAGTAGTCGAAGTGGCTCATAGAATAGACGGACCAACTAGCTGGTGACTTCTTAATATCAGTTTATGGTCGTGTGATAATTGATTATCATTGTCATCATCATTTTTCAATTACTGAGTTCATGCTACAGCAAGTGATATGAAATAATGAATGCCATTTGGGCAAATGAATGAAATTATGATTTATAGAAACTAAAGCATGCTTGATTATACTACAGTTGTGCACTTGTAGTTCTGAGGTAAATTTTTGGAAATGTAATTTTAATGTATGCGTTTAAATTAAATCATTGTTGAAACTCTTCTCTGTAGGTTTCTAAGAAAAACTTAATGGAGATCGTAAAGAAGCTGATGCTGCACGTGGACAAAGCAGAAGGAACCACCTACAGAGACGAGCTTCTCACCAAGATCATTGACATCTGCAGCCAGAGCAACTACCAATACATCACCAACTTTGAATGGTCTGTCTCTCACCCAATAACTCCACACCAGCTTAGTTTTAAAGTTTCACCCCAAATTCTACATGTTACTGAACTGTATTATCCACATCTGCCTGCACTGACAGGTACATCAGTATCCTGGTGGAGCTGACCCGGTTAGAGGGCACACGGCACGGCCACCTCATTGCCTCTCAAATGTTGGATGTTGCTATTCGGGTCAAAGCCATTAGGGTCTTCGCTGTGGCCCAGATGGCTACTCTGCTGGACAACGCCCACCTGCTGACCGGCAACATGCAGCGAAACGGCATCTGTGAAGTGTTATACGCTGCAGCGTGGATCTGCGGCGAGTTCTCAGAGTATGTTTATTTCTCCCATTGGGATGCATTCATATTAACACTGGTATAAGAAGGCATAAGTAAAATAAGAAAGGCTGTGAAAACACTCAAACTCACTTGAGTTTATGCACAATAAAGACTATGAACCTGTATTTAAGCAGCAGAGTGTAAAATGACAGTAATGGGATATCCCATTACCTCAGTCATCTGTTACAATGAATCTACAGGGAAATGCCAGACAGCTGAGTTCAGATCTTGTGCTGCATCCCCTGTGTGTTGTTGCTCTCTTATGAAGTTCAAGCTAACCCTGGCAGCCTGATCTTAGACTGTTGTTTTTTTGCTCATTCAGTAAAGCTAAACCATCTTTCATATCCTATTTTACATGAATAGTAGAAATTCTATTGGTGATAAAATCTCTGGAATATCATCGTAGGTAATGGAGACATTTTCCAACTAAGTTAATGTACTGGTTATTTTGCACCATTAATCTTAAGTCTCTACAGCAAGCAAACATATGTAGCCCTTTTCTGAGAGTAGAGAGTAATAAACAGGACTAAGGAAGGTACTCCTCCTCTCTGTAGACACCTGGAGAACCCAATGCAGACGCTGGAGGCCATGCTGCGGCCAAAGGTGGCCACCCTCCCCGGCCACATACAGGCAGTTTACGTGCAGAATGCAGCCAAGCTGTTTGCCACTGTGCTGAAGAGCCAGGAGGGGAACACTGAAAGCACAGCCGCGCAGGAAACCAGCCAGCTGATGATTGAGAGGCTACCGCTGTTCGTCCAGAGCGCCAACCTGGAGGTGCAGGAGAGGGTAAGAAAGGAAGTTTGAGAAGAATGAGTCATGTCTGTTTCTCTCTTTAAACAAGTTGACTCACCAGAAATCTGATGAAATACCTGTGATAAATTCTGTCTGACGAGCTGTCATGTTCGCAGGCATCTTGCATCCTGCAACTTGTCAAGTACATCCAGAAACTGCAGCAGAAGGATGTAGAAGTAGCGGAGGAGGTCAGTGCTCTGTTTGCTGGAGAACTCAACCCTGTGGCCCCCAAGGCACAGAAGAAAGTGCCTGTTCCTGAAGGGTATGTTTGCTATGATTTTACATGTGAGATCTAGTTCAGTAAAATCCAAGGCATTTTAAGTTACTATTGTGATGAACCAACAATAATCACAGAATATTTGCATGTTTATGTTCAAGTCTTGATCCGTGTAACTGAGTTTGTCTCTGCAGTCTGGACCTGGACGCCTGGATCAACGAGCCTCCATCTGAGAGCGAGTCTGAGGATGAGCAGCCCAAGGCTATTTTCACCAAGGAGGAGCCCAAACACTCCCGCCCCCGTCACACAGAGGTGGATGAGAAGGAACTGGCGAGGGTGAGCTGGTTGATGATAGGAGCTTTGCTCAATACAAGGATGAATTTCAATTAACAGTGCTGAGCTACACTTCTGTATGTAAAAGAAGTTTTAAAACCTTTTATAAGTTTATTGTCTAGACCTTATCTTTTTTTTCACCCATTTGCAAATATTATTTCACTCAAATCCCACTTACAAGTAGAAATAATCACAACATTCACACTAAGATGCAAAAATTTGCCAAAAGCAATGTTAATGTGGCTGTAACCATATGTATTCTATCTCTAATACTAACAATACTAGCTATATTGACCTTCTCAGTGTTGTAGTCATTACTACATCTGTTTTCCAATGTGGTTCCCTTAAATGCATGGAGGCACACTTTTCTTCATTGATTTTAATTCATGTTGTTGTTTTCCTCCACTCCCAGAGGAGAGAAGCTAGAAAGCAGGAGCAAGCCAACAACCCGTTCTACATCAAGGCCTCCCCGTCCTCTCAGAAGGTTTGTTTAGCAGTAGAGTACTTTATTTTATTTATGTTATCCAGTCCGTTTCAAAAGCCTGAACGTAAGGCATAACTGCAGTAGATCTTGCATTAAACGTAGTTAGATTTGTTTATGAAATGTATGTGCTAGCCAGTGTGTGCTGAGTGTATTTCAAGTAATGTTTTGTCTGCAGGTTTATCAGGACACCCCTGGAGTGGAGCACATCCCAGTTGTGCAGATTGACCTCAGTGTGCCTCTCAAAGTCCCAGGTGGGACACCACCACAACACACCAGTGTCACACTCATTCATTTCTGTATTCTTGTTGAATTTGGATAATTATTAATAAATTACATGCTTGTTCTTAGTGTCTGTCTTCTTTAATACACCTGTGGCTTTCTCTTGTCCCCCAGGTCTGCCTATGTCTGACCAGTACGTCAAGTTGGAGGAGGAGCGCCGACAGAAGGAGAGGGCAGAAAAGAAGAAGAAGAAGAAGGAGAAGAGGAAAGAAAAGCGCAGTGGACGAGGGAAGAAACATGACTCCGGCCCAGAGAGCGAGGAGGACATCACCCCTGCGCATATGGTCGACATAGTTACTGAGGAGATGCCAGAGGTACAGTGGGCTGGAGCTGAGCAAACATCACAACATGTTTACACAGAACCATTAGATCATAGAATAGGAAGATGTGTAAAAACAGTTGAAGGACATGTCAGTTCTCCTAAATTGATTGACAATCTAATCTTAAATAAGTGTGCTTTTTACACATGTCTGAACTTTGTTTAAGGCACAGTAATTCCACTTTTGAGAAGCTGTGGAAAATAGTAATAGATTACCCTTCATGTTGTTCCAGAATGCCTTACCCAGTGATGATGATGACAAAGACCCCAATGACCCTCACAAAGCGCTGGACATCGACCTGGACAAGTGAGTCTGCACAGAGATCCTTTATCTACATATTCACAGATATTTGTGCAAATCTATAGTTAATTTTTGTTTGAATACTTTAATGTTTAAGCCAATCAATCATTGAAACATTCCAAAGCTGAGGAAAACTAAAGCTTGTGTTAATCATTTCTAATCTAATCTGAATATTTCCTAGTTAAAGTTGATAATTTATTCCTAATTATATCTTGGGCTTCATGGTGACAGCTTCACAACCAGGGTGACTTGGCCCTTTCCCTCATCTGATTCCCTCTCATGGCGTTCTGCTTTCTGCTTCCTCTTTTCTATGCCTACACACACCCACTACTGCCTCTCTGTGTGGGCAGCTTGTTGGAGATGGCTGGGCGCAGGTGAGTCGCACCGCAGCAACGGGACCTGGCCTCCAACGCGTACAGGGACCGCCTCCCTGTCTTTTTCTTTCCCTCTCTACAAATAGCTGTCTTGCTCCTCTTATTAACATAGCTGTCATTTCTTGACTCATTTGGAGTTTGCAGTACCTGCTTCCGCTTTTTTTACTCGTCTTTCCTCGTACTTTCAGTATCTATTATGTTATTCAACTAGCTTTTCAATTAGAAAACCATCCAGTATTCCCTTTCTTTACCCATTTCTTCCCATTTTTTTAAATTTGAATAATCCTGACAATATCAGCAGCTGTTCCTAAACAATCTGTTTTATAATTTCTCTCATCTTAAGAAAAGACAAGTTACCCTTAAACAAGTTATCTCTTTGATAAAGAGACATAGTTTTATAGAAAAAAAGGTTTTTAAGAGGCTGCTGCTGATCTTCTCAGGTCTTAATCTTGTACCACCTGTCCTCCTGGAATAGGCTCCTGAAAGCTTTTTGGCCCTTGTTTTCCTTGGAAAAGATAATTGGCATCAACATGCTTTTAGGAAAGCTGTCCTGAGGGTCAGGTCCTATAATTTTTTCGATCTGAGTTCCCAGATCCTCCTCGGTTTCAAGTTCTAGCAAGCAGGTTTTTTTAGTTTTTCAAGTGGATACTCCCTGCCTGGCCTTGGTGGAAATCACAAGCACATGTGCCCTTAGCCCAATGCTGTAGTTTAAATCATTTTAAATGATTTACACAGATTTATAATATGGGTTAAATTTTAGATTAGGCAATGAAGAAGAGTAGTGATTGTGCTGGAGTAATTGGAAACACCTGAAAGAGACTGTCTGTAGAACATACTGTACATTTATGTCCATACTAGTGACCTCATTTTACACAAAATTGGCCTCAATAGCAATGACTCAATCCTGTTTTTTTCCAGCTGTTTCAGATATGTGTCTGCTGGTTTATTGTTAGGGTAACTTTGGACTCCTGTGGTCAGTCCGGAGTGTATAATTCTGACATCTCTTTCTATTAGAACTCATGATAATTACAGACAAACGCACACATTCTGAGTTCCTGTTGTCTTCAGTCAGTTACAAGTCACTGTGTGTGCAGAAATGCATTAATTACATAAATCATTTGTCAAAAATCTTTCTAAGAAAACACACTTTGAATATTCTCATCTTTAAAACTGATAAACGCTACAATTGAAAATTTACATAATGTATGTTATACAGTCAGGGCTGAATAGTATGTCTTTACAGAGAAGAGCCAGTAGGGGGCTGTAGTGAATGTGCTCTCTGCTTACAAGGTCCAGGCTCGGGTCAAATAAACTTGACAACTTGTTTCAGTTGGATATGGAGGAATTTATTCGTGTAGTTTCTCGCTGCTTCCTGCTCTGCCACAGGAATGGCTTAACTCAACACCTTGAATGTGACAGAATATGTGCCTGAATTCAGTGGGTTGCTGCACCCTGCAAGCCTTTTTCCCCTTTTCTAACAACCGAATGCTTACTAAAAAGAGTGAAGAAAGATTGAAGATGTTTTCCAGATGATGGCTTCAACTCCAGATGGACCCCAGTCACCTCACAAATCCTCATCTAAGCAAAGCGCAGACGTATAACTGTGCAGTTTTGTTTGTCCAGGCCTCTTGCAGACAGTGAGAAACTACCTGTCAGGTCGCACCGTGCAGCAGAGGCTCCAAAAAGCCCCGGAGAGGATGGAGACGCAGAGAGTGCCGCCACACAGGAGCCCAGGAAGAAGAGAAGCAAAGATAAGAGGGAGGAGAAGAAGAAGGATAAAGATGGAGATAGGAAGGTGAGCTTAAAATGTTTCGTCCTCTTTTGTTACTAGGAAGCCTCATTCTCTCAAGCTGATGAGACTGCCTCTTCGAACCAGTAAACCAGATTTATGGGGTGATTTGGAGCCGTGATCATAACATGATGACTTGCTGCACCTCACTGTGACATGGAGCTGAATTTATCCTCCTGTTATTTGCAGAAGAGCAAAGAAGAGAAGAAGAAGAAAAAACACAAACACGAAGAAAAGGAGGAGGATCTCCTCAGCGGTCAAGCAGAAGAGTCTGTGGTCCAATCAGAAGAAAGCAGTCAGGTGGCGGCGGCGCCGCCCACATCGACCAGCGCTGAGGTATGCTCCTGTAGAAGGGTGGAGTAAAGCTGCTTCCTACCTAGCAACAGAGTTTGTGTGACGAAAATTTGAATTAACGCTGAAACATGATTCCATCGAATATTCGGATCAAAAACTTTGACAAATAAAAATACCATTATATATTTAAAATAAAAAAAACATTATATTGAATTAACATTCTCTGCTGAAAGGTTACGTTCAAACAGATATATCTAATCATTTTTATTGACTCAACACTTCTTCCCAGCGTCTCTTTCAATCAGCTTAAGTGATCAAGTATCTGTTTCCTCATCTTTTACCAAATACTTGAAGTATTCATGATATAGGCCTGAGTATTCTCCATTGGCATAAGAAGTAAAATACAGAACCTTTTTGGCCCTCACCCCTCTCACCTCCTTGCATTCCTCTCCTTCCCTTCCTCTTCTAGGTTTCGGATCTGGATTTCTGGCTCTCAAACGCTCCAGTGCCCTCTAACACCCAGGTGGAGTCGCCCCCCCTCCCCCCTCCCCCCTCTTCCCATCCCCTCATCTCCTCAGTCACCAAATTCCATCCTTCACCACTCCATGTTTTATTGATCTATCTCATACGTTGGTCTTTGCCACCCGATCTCCCTCTCTTTTTTCTTGATATTGATGATATTTTTTTTTGCTCATCTTCCACTTTTTCACACAGCTTTCTCTCTTTTGATGATCACATAACACTTTCCTCTTTCATCCTCCAGCCTCCCTCTGTTTTCTAGCATGTGCGTGTTGGTCTCACAATGTCAGTGGTTCTCTTCCTCAGCTGTTGTTTTGCTCGCTGGATGTCGTGTCGGTCTTGAAGTGAAAGTGGTTGTTGTTATGTCGGTGGTGATCAGTGAGTGCAGGTTGCCTGAGCTTCCCTGGAAACTGACCTGGAGTCATTTCCTTCAGTTCCTGTCACTACTGCGTCACGTGTGTGCGTGGCGTGTTCTCGGACTGCTTCCACTGTGGTCACATGGAGTCGTACTTGTCTTTGTTTTCCCTTTTTAGCGTCACAACTGACACATAGAAACAGAAATCACACTTAAAGAAAGAAAGTACTCACAGATGACACAATAGCCAGTCCTGTGATATTACAGAATAACATCAGAGTATATAAACCTGTCTGTTCTTAAATGTGATCATGCAATATTTGTATTATTTTTGTAATATACTTGTTGGTTTCTCAGACAGGCTCGTTTTTGGTTTAGTCCATTTGCCCAGATGATGTTGCTGCATGCAACACTTTTGATTCAGCAAATCCAGTTTGTGTTTGTGGTGTCACAGATCTGAGTAGGTTGCAGGTGGTTTTGAATGACTTTCTATGAATGAGAGAACTCACTAACTTCACTTACCCCTATCAATACAGAAATGGCACAAATCTGTGGGTGTTTATGCTGTGGTTGCTCTCGCTAATGCTAATGTGTATATGTGTGTGTGAACAGGAAGCAGCAACAGTAGCAGAAGCAGCAGCAGAAGCAGCCTCTGTGCCCGAGGCGGTCTCAGGCACAGCGCCAGACTCTGAGCCTGATGAGCCCAAAGATGCCGAGATGGAGGAGACTGTGAGTCACTGCCGATGATGACGATAATTACAAAGTAGAAAGTTTGGCCGTGGTGCTGGAGATCCCAGTTCACTGTGACCTGACAGCACACAGCACACTGGCAGCTCCTCTTTTTCTCACAAGTCTGTGTAAATGATGTACCAGAGACCTGACACTTCTAATGGTCTCTAGAGGAATATTTCTCCCAGCTGCCAGGTATGATTACCAATTCAGTTTTCAGTGTGTGGAATTTCTAATAAATTGTCTCCGTCTTTTTTCTGTCTGGGTTTTCAATGATAAGAAGTCCTCCAAACACAAGAAGAAGAAGCAGAAGAAGGAGAAGGAAGAGAAGGAGAAGAAAAAGAAGAAGAAGCATCATCACCATCATCGCCACAGTGATGCAGGTGGAGAGGAATCTGTGCAGAATGGCACTGTGGAGGATGAAGAGCCTCTGCCGGTCTGTATTTATTATCTTAAACTTCAGCACTCATACTCACATTTTTATTTTCTGCGCTCATAAAGTAAAAACAAGCTTTTTTGTCATTGTCTTAATGTCATGTTGGTCCACTTGGGTCAGTGTGATAAACATCAAGATGTCTATAACCCAATTAATTGTTTTGATAAAGAAATAATTCTTTTTAAATAAGTTAAGCAACATCTTTGCGTCATTCTGTATTTTCATCTTGATTTAATATTTCTGTTGTGGTGGAAAAACAAGTTACTGACCGAAAAGCCACAAATAACTTGATGCTGCATGTAGGCCGGAGAATTTGTCATCGCCCATATCTGATCTTGTAGCTCCCACAGTTCAAACCTGCTGACTGGCACACACACACACACACATTTTTGTACTTCTGTCTTATTGAGGACACTCATAGGAATAATGAATTTTGCCAGCCCCTCACCCTAAATGCCTAACCCTAACCTGAACCTAATTCTAACCCTAAAACCAAGTGTTATCCCTTAAACAGCCCTTTGAAAAAGTGAGTGCTGGCCAAATTGTCCTCTCTGTAAGGTCTGTGCTCAAAATAGTCCTCACAAATATATAAGTTTGAGTATACACACACACACACACACACACACACTCTGCTTGTTATACATCGGCCAGGTAGAAGCAGCTCCTGTTGCCTAGTTAGCATACTGTGTGACAGAGAATGCCGGATCTGACCTGAGCTCTTATCTCATTTCAGTCCATGTCCAATTACTGCCTGCTGGCAGAGAACTCCTACATCAAGATGGTGAGTGATAGCATTATAATATCATTTTTTTGCCTCATTTTTGATCATAACATTTAATCATAATATCATCAGAATCACTGATGTTGATGTCAGATTGTAATGCATTCCGTATCTGCTGGATTTAATATATTTATATCCTGTCATTCACTTTAAAATATAAAGGGAAGAAGATTCTTGCACTAGAAATGGATTTTCTCGTTAGATGACAACACACACTTTTGTGTAGTCACTAAAAAGGAGAAACATCTGATCGGCCTCATGTGACGTTTGCACTCAGTTGACCCAGTTCTTATCTTGCATCGCTGTGTCTCTTCATTTCCCCATTTTTGCAATAAAATTAATAAGTAAAATGTTGTAACCAATTATAAGATCAAGATTGTGGAAATACCCTCAACACTGACCATAGGCAAAATGCAAATGTTCCTGTTTAGGTTGGTGATTTAAATGTAACAGTTATCTAAGGCAACATAAGTAGTTAAACGTGTAGATTTCTAATTTCTCTCCTTCTCTTTAAAGATGATGGAAGATGCTGATCAGGTACTGGTTAAAGTTCTGTCAGTGACAGAAAAATCTTCTTTTAGACGTTTCTCTGTTTTCTTGTGCTCTTTACAACCTGGCCTCTGAGACTAAAACAAAGCAGAATTGCTCAACTTTCTGAAAATGTTTCTGTGGTGTGCTCCTCCTTGTGCTCAGACTGGTTTCTTGAAAAAAGTGACGTGTGCTTTGGTGTTGGACTTCCTGTGTTTATTATGTTTCTTCTCTAAGTAATCTTTCACTTGTTAAAAATACAATGAAGGATTAGAGAAAGTTTGATCAGTAATTCCAGCTTTAAACAATTGATCTAATAAGAATAATTTTCCTTTTCCCCTCACCCTCTAAGGTTTATGACATCCAGGGGAACCTTCAGGATGGCAGTCAGGTCGTGGTGTCTGTTATATTTGAAAACAAGTGTGACAGCTTCCTCAAATCCATGGAGTTCAACGTCCTGGACTCTCTCAACTCCAAGCTGCAGAGGCCAGAGGGCTCGGGTCCACATGATGGCCTCACCGTCCCCTTCCAGCTTCCACCAGGTCAGAGGTTATCTGCAGAATACACTTTAATATAAGTAATGGGATTTAAATCCTCATTTTGGGCAGTTTGGTTAAGTCTGATTACCTAACTCTTAGCATCTTATGTAAGATTTGGTCAGTATTCCAGAAAGGACAGCACAAGAATTTCAGTTCATAGGGAAACGTGTGTTCTCTGTGTATTTGACAATAAAAATCTTTGAATCTTTGAATCTCTCTTGTGTTCCAGGGGTGTCCAATGAGGCGCGATTTGTCTTCACCATGCAGAGCATCGTGATGCCACAGAAACTGAAGGGAACACTCACCTTCATTGTCAAGGTTAGGAGAAACCCCTGTAGTGTACATCCACACAGGAAACGCATTTCAAAATCCACTCTCCACACCAACACTTGATTTTGGCCTTTAAAACTAATTATAGTTTCCACAACATCGTTGCCACACAATTTGCTGTTACCCATCCCAGTATGTCAAATATAAATCAGAGAGGTTGGATATTGTGAAAGTAAGATTTTTTTTTCCTCAACTGTTTGTTATTGTGGTGTGTTCCCACAGAATGATGACTCCTCCACTCATGAGAAACTGGACTTTAAACTGCACTTTACCTGCACCTCCTACCTAATCTCTACTCCTTGCTACAGGTTGGTGATAGGCCAGTCAGAAGATGAGAAGGATTTCTGACTGGTTACAGGGTCCAAGATAATTTATGATAATTATGTAATCACGATATCTATTGAAAGTGTGAAAAATAACAATAATATTGTACACTCTTATGGTAAACATTGTTTACTGTGTTTTATCTAATTTTTTACGAATTGATTATGCTTAAAATACTAAAACCTGCTAGGTTTGTGCAGATGGACAATGATCTTGTTGATCAAAGGTGGTCAGAGTGATCAGATACCTAATTTATCACATGAATTAAAGGCTACAACTACAAATAATAGTTGTTGTTTTTTCCAGTGATGCGTTTGCAAAGCTGCTGGAGTCAGGGGACCTGAAGGGCAGCTCTGTCAGACTGGAGGGGGTCATTATGCCCTTCCACCACCTACTAGCCAGGATCTGCTTCCACCACCACTTCTCAGGTACATAGCTCACCAGGACGTACTATTCATTTGTGTCAGATTTTTGTCCCCAAACATGAAGGTATCAGTTGGTCAGGTGTTCCACATAAATATAACAATACGCTGCATTTCAGGAAGTTAAAACCAGTTAAAACACAGGGATGATTTTACAGGTGACTAAAATACTTTTCTATTCGGTTAAACTTAACTTGGATGGCGTGTTGTTGTTATTGTTAATGTGTTATAAAATGACCATAACTTCATGCAGTTGAACATTGCTGACAGTTTGTGTCTTCTTTGATCAGTTGTGGAGAGGATCGACTCCTGTGCCTCCATGTACAGCAGGACTATCCAGGGTCACCACGTCTGTCTGCTGGTCAAAACTGTAAGTGGACCAGTCATATTCCTTCCATAACCTCTGTTTACCAATGATTCCAGTCTCTAGTTTGTTTGATTTCTTTCTCTTTATTTGACAAAATGTTCCCACACTCCTGACTTGAATGTGTCTGGGGCATCAGCAGTCTCAGTGTTATTATTAATCTTTAACTAATTAAATTAGACTTACTTTTAACACGCGCGCGATCACTAAACCATGTTTGGACCAAAACAATCGCGCATGAATTACAGCAATCGAGTAAATAACAAGAGGTTGGAAAAAATTAGAACCTCCCAAAGGCAAATAGCGGGATGAGACATGCATGAGGTGGAAAAGGTGAGTAATGAATAAGAAATGATTAAGAATGTAAAGGTTGTAGGAAATAAAGTTGGGAAGTCTTATGTTTTTTTTCCCCTTTTCTCTGTGTTTTAATACGGGTGAAGAATAACAATTGAAGAAAAATGTCAAAGTTTAAAAAAAATTGAAAAGTGATAATTTA